AGGCCCCAGCAATGATCCGAGGGCTGGAACCCCTCTGCTGTGAGGAAAGGCTGGGAGAGCTGGGGCTGTTCAGCCTGGAGAAGAGAAGGCTCCAGGGACACCTTCCAGCAGCCTTCCAGTACCTGAAGGGGCCTGCAAGAGAGCTGGAGAGGGACTTTTCACAAGGACACGTAGTGATAGGACAAGGGGTAACAGCTTTAAACTGAAAGAGGGTAGATTAGGTTAGATAGAAGAACAAAATTCTTTACTGCAAGGGTGCTGAGACCCCGGCACAGGTTGCCCAGAGAAGCTGTGGCTGGCCCCCTCCTGACCGTGGTCAAGGCCAGGGTGGGTTTGGAGCACCCTAGTCTGGTGGAAGGTGTCCCTGCTCATGGCAGGGGGGGTGGAACTTGTAAGGTTCCTTCCAACCCAAACCACTCTATGATTCTCTCAAGTGCCCTTGCATTTCAAAACCTACTCAAGGACGTATGTTGCCATTGCTGGTGTAGCAGCGTTGCTGTGGGTAAGGGTGTTGTGTCAGGAGGCAGCTCTGCAACGTATTTAACGCCTTTGTAATTTGGCCTGATAAACCTTACCCAAATCCCTTGTGCCCTCCCATGTCCCTATGCCAAATAAAAGGATTAGTCTCCTGTCAGGTGGCTTTAACTATGCTTTCAATTCACTTCCTCATTTATATTAACGCAGCTTGACAAGTATAGCATGTGTGTCTGGTAAAGAGTGAGATGTGGTGTACAGTGTATAAATAATGCTTATTGATAGATGTTTTGTTAACCAACAGCATAAAAACCATTGCCATGGGCCTCATCGACCTCATATGCACAACTGTCATAGCATCCACAAGGAGAAAGATCTACCAGTGCTACCGGGACCATATCCGATTGTTGAAGACCCCAGCACCTGTGATATCGTCAAGGCTACACAGTAAGTATATGTTCTGTGTGTGCAAAATGTTGAAATAGGTGGGAGTGTCCTCAGATGTGAGCCAGGCTGGATATTTTTGCAAAGGAAAATTTTACAATTCCATTTTCTTCCCATAGTGAAAGAAGGAAAACTGTGTAAAGGTACTATCGTAGACATTTTCATAATGAACAACAGTATCAACCAGATTTGTTTTGTTAGGTAGAAAATTCGACTTATCAAGGCTCAGCCCAGGTCTTTTTTCAAGACTTCCATTGAATGCAATGTGGAATTTGCTCAGGTGGAAATTGCTGGATGATGCTTACTGAGATTTACTTTTTCTTTAGTTTGTGGCAGTCTCTAAACCGGAGGATATGTAACCAGTGAATGATAAGTGAATCCATGTGGGTTTTTTTCTTATTTAAGGTACGGAATAGTAGAGCGATGCAAAGAACTGGTCGAAGCAGGATATGATGTTCGACAACCAGACAAAGAAAATGTGACTCTTCTTCACTGGGCGGCGATAAACAACAGACAGGAGCTGGTTAAGTAAGCTCTAGAGTGCTTGTGACAGTAACACAAATACTCTGTCACTGTTATTTATAATCACTTTGTTGCTATAGTACTTTAAAACAAAACAACATACTGCTTGAGAAGCATAGAATTGAAATTTTAATCCAATTACCTTTGTGAAAATGTCACTGAAATGTAAAGTTACCACAGTTTCTTTGTATGTGAAATCATGAGATCATGAGATTTTTGTGGCTTTGGTGTGTTTTGTTGAACAAAGGTTAAAGCTGATTTTGTAAGTGCCTTGCTAATTGCTATATTTTTTTCTTAAACATTTTCTCAAAATGGCATCCTTTACTGCAAAAATACTCTGGTCCATTTGCTCCTCTAGTGACATTTTTTTTTTTGTTATGACCTATTTACTACTGAAGCTATGTTATCCTTAGTATAACGTTTTAATATTTTATTATGTCTATTCTTAATCTTACTGTGTTGCTGTTACACAGATACTATATTTCCAAAGGCGCAATAGTGGATCAGCTAGGTGGAGATTTGAATTCAACTCCTCTTCACTGGGCCATTAGGTATGCTGCTTGCAACTACTAATTATAAATCTGTTAGTATTAACAGTCATAGTAGCATTTTGTGTAGCACGGCAATGGTCATCTAAAATCAGCTTCTGTGGTATGTTTGTTTTATTGAGGCGTAAGGAGTTTCACAGCACGTCCATAATAATGCTGAAATCTGTTCACCGATTCCTGGCAACTTTGCAGGTCACAAAGCTGTGTTGTGTGTGTATATCTGTGTTTTCGTCACTTGGACTCGCGTTTTGAAGTTTCCCTAGGCGTGAAACAGTACTGTTCAGACTTTGCCTCAGAAGTCCTGCCTTACCGGGCAGAGGAGACTTGGGTGACTTTAGGTGACTGAAGTTAGCTGTTAATGCTTATTAGGGCACAGTTCAAGGCTGAAAAAGTTCTGATCGTGGTTCCCTCAGACTTCAGCCTAACTAACCTGCTTTCAGTTGTTCTGGCTTCTGCACTGGATTCCCTTGGTGTACTCTCCTGAGACTCAGTGCTGCCAGTCTTGGACTTTAAAGCACAAGCATGTAGCAGTAGGCCCAGTGCGAGACATCTTGTTGCTCAGAGGCACGTACTTAGAAGGTTCTTCGACCGTCTTCTCCCAGCGGCATTAGCTTTTCCTCTTGGGCTCCTCATAGCTGCAACCACAAACGTGCTGCATCTCTTCCTGGGCAGCAGTAGATATTGGTGCTTGCAGATGTTTCATGCCTCTGGATCAGCTCTTTCTACATCTACTTCTGCTCTAGACGACGTCTGTTCAACCCAATACAGTTTAAAATCATACAGCTTTGGCTTCTAGGGCAGCACTTGAGTAAAATGATCAAAAGAACAAAGCACTGCTTGTCTGGAAAAAACATAATGTTAGATAATTATTCTGAGAACTTCTCTGAGTGCAAGTTCTCACACTGGAAGATTAGTGCTTTCCTCTGGGCTATCTTAGTCTTCTGCCAAACAAAGTTAGATACTTCTTCTGAGAGAGACTGCTCACAGGAGAAATTACTGTAGAATAACCATTATGTTCTAGATTAGTTTATCTTAGGGTCACTTATTAAGGTATATATTTAATATAATTTT